TACTGTCCTGTTTTAACACCATCACCTTGATAACTTGTTATGATCACGCCATCTTAATTAGTTTGTACAGTTTTGGATTATTTGTTACTTTGTTTAGACGTTTGGCATGCGACTCTTTTATACGTATCATATTATTCTGGCTGTTTGGTTTGTCTCTAGCACCACCTTACTTTTAATTTTTTTGTAATTATCTCTTTGCCTCAATTAATTGGATTATAGGTCATCCCCTTCACTTTCTATTCAGCTGTTGACACTTTACTGACACCGTCTGACACTTTTGATCACCTGCAGAGACTTAGTATTCAGCCTATCGACACTGCTCACATCGTTTTGTACAATATTTTGATCTGTCTGCCCATTGATCTCTCTGCCTGTAAATTCTGTGCCTGTATGCTTTTCTTCACTTCACCTGATGGAGGGGCAGCACTGTGAAAGCTTCTAATTGCAAATAAACCTGTTGGACTATAACCTGGTGTTGTGTGACTTCTGAACTAGAATTAAGACCCAGAGAACTGAGGCCCACCTTCCAACTAGCCTGCCTCAGCAATTGATCACTCCTGTGGCCATCTATACTCGATTGGAGATATCATAGAGTCAAGGAGTCATACAGCAAAGAAATAGACCATTTGGTCCAACTTGGCCATGCCGACCAGGTTTTCCAAACTAAACTAGTCCCATTTGCCCACAGTTGGCCCATATCCCTCTAAACCTTTTTTATTCATGTACCTGTCCAAATGTCTTTTAAATGTTGTAACTGGAATGGCATCTGCCACTTCCTCTGGCAGTTCGTTCCACATACAAACCACCTTCTGTGTGAAAAGGTTGCCCCTCGGGTCCTTTTTAAATCTTTCTCCTCTCGCCTTAAAATTATGCCATCTAGTTTTGATCTCCCATACCCTCCTGTACCTTGTCTATGCCCCTCATGGTTTTATAAACCCCTATAAGGTCACCCCTGAACTTCCTACGGTCTAGGGGAGAAAGGTCCCAGCCTACCCATCCTCTCTTTATAACTGAAACTCTCCAGTCCTGGTAACATCATCAAATCTTTTCTGCCCTTTCCAGCTTAATAACATCCTTCCTATAGCAGGAAGACCAGAACTGTACACAGTACTCCAAAAGTGGCCTCATCAACGTCCTGTACAATACAGCATGACAACCCAATTCCTATACTCAGTGATCTGAGCAATGAAGGCAAGCGTGCCAGATGCCTTCTTCATCAACCTGTCTACCTGTGATGCATCTTTCAAAGAACTATGTATCTGAACCCCCAGCTCTCGTTGTTTGACAGTACTATCCAAGGTCCTACTATTTACTATGTAAGTTCTGCCCTTGTTTGTCTCAACAAAATGCAGCACCTCAAATTTATCTAAATTCCATCCGCCACTCCTTGGCCCACTGGCCCAGTTATTCCAGATCTGAAGGCCTGACTTTGTTTCACATCCTTCTCTACCACACTACCATCCCTCTACCCCAGCCCAAACTTTGCATGTTTGAGGAAACAGGGGAACAGCGAAATTTCTCCAAGGTAACTATCCAAATCAGTAGCTAACCTCCACTCCGGTGTGTATTGGAAAGCAACGAACAGGCAAAGGAATGTTACAGTAGCCGTCACCATGGAAGCTAAACAAAAATGTAATTACTCTTGTAAAAAGGATGGAAAAGACAATAGATTCTGGAATTAAATTGGGTGAGCACTGGAGTTATGCTGAATTAAATGTTGAGCACTCCTGTGTCACTGCAAGAAATTTGCTTCTTTGAAGGTAGGCATTGGAATCAGATGGTTGCTGTAACCCTGGACAGCTGTCAGAGCTCTTGAACAAAGAAATTCAGTAAAATAAATTCTCATAAATTGAAATGTCATCTTTGATCTCAGTGTCTGTCAGCTGCTGATAGCTGTTTGCAAATGTGAGTTTTGTTTAATTATGGCATTTGCCTTGGCTAGACATATAGTTCGTGAATAATGAGATGTTAATTGAACTGTTGAGGAGGCCAGTTAACAGATTAGCACTTTTGCAGGATAAGAACTGGGATTGTTTAACTCCTGTTGGTTGGAATCTTACTGTGAGTCAAGCTAATGGGCTGAGCATGGCATATAGGATATATTGTGGATGTGCCATAATACCAGAGATTTAGAATATGTTAGATTGAAAATCTCTGCTTTTTTAGGTAGGCACTTAGAGGGGTCTTTAACTGCTGGCATTGGCTCCAACAAGACTGGTCGGGGGTGGGGGTGAGTAGAGCAAGGAGAACTGAAACCTGCTGCTGACCTGCCTCCAATTTCTAGTTGTGTAATATTGGAACTTCTTTCCTACATTAGAAATGGTAATGATGATGCCTATTCCTTTTATGTTCTTTAATACCTTTAACTT